TGACCTGATACCTGCCGCATCTTTTCGCCATCGACCCTCACAACAGCATATGCATCCCCATCATATAGATGGCAGGCCACAACTGTGCGGTTCTCACGTAGCTTCCTGCCTCGCACAGCAAAACTGTGGAATGATCTGTCGTCGGCGGTATTTCCGAACCGATACGACCTTCAAACCTTCAAGAGAAGAGCGTACTCCTTTTTAAAGGGCCGGCAACGCACCTGTGACTCTTCTGGTGTTGCGGGTGTCCATGGGCGGCGCTGATCGCTTACCATCAGGTGATCCGTCTGCTCGTTTGAATCCTATTCCATAAAAAAAAAAAAAATGGTCGAGCGCTCGACATGAGACAGAAGGTAACTTGTCTGTCTTTTTATAGAACACATAATTAAGAGACCGTCGTGCCTTTTAATAACTGATACTGTCAAAAAGGATTAAGGGATATTTTACAATATAACACCTTTTTTCAGATATGTAATGAGTTCTATGCAAAAAGGGGTGAGAATAGAATATTGTCACAAAATGAGCACAATAGGGTAGATGACTAATTTTTAATTTAATGGCCGTCTGGTAGATCATTTAAAAACATTAGACACGTACTTTTTTATTTTGTTACGGAAACGAAGACTTTCGACGATATATTGATTCTAAATGTCGCTTAACGTCACTTCTATGTACATTTTATACATAGAAATGACGTTTTAGCCCCCCGTTCCTAAACTTTGATTCGTTATATCTAAGTGTCAGTTTATCATACGACAAAATAAAAAATACATACCTATTTGTTATTTTTTCATTACCTAACTGACGGACTAATTACAATTTTAATTATCATACCCTGTCATCATCCCTATTCCCAGTACGATTTCTTACTATGAGGAATCTTCGAAAAGCGAAAAAAAAAACTTAGCTCAGGTCAGTAGGTACCTACATAGTACGTATGAGTTCAAGGGTAGAATTCACAAAATCTTTGCTACTTATATAAACAAATTAGTTTCAAAAAATCTCACCACTTTGATAATACTCCCCTTAGCTCGGCGGTAGTGGCGACACGCGACGCTCGCGTTAGCATCACATATCCATGTCAGCACCATATCTGATGGTCCACCTACTTTCCAAACTGGTTTTTTGGTTAATTCCGTTGTTTGGAAATCAATATTTTGGTAATTATTCAGTGATTTTTTAAGAGTTGTAGTTCTGATCTACCTAAACCTAATTCCTTACAGGAAGCCTGAATTCGTTTGACGACAGCAACCTAGTACCTATAGCATGTAGGTACATTATATCACTACTCCTTATTTTTATAGTCATAATGATAAAAGCAATCCGCTCTCTGTTTAAACATCACGTGGAGTGTGAGCGATGTTACCAGAGGGAGGCCCAATAACCCATCTCCCCTATCCCAGAATTTTCAACAATCCTTAAATTACAAATCTCCAAAAAACGTCTCAGGCCTCTGGTGTTTCAGGTGTCCATGGACGGCGCCGAATGCTTGCTTGCTTACCCTCTGAGTACCGTCATTATAGACACAATTAAAGAACTATAGGTTGCGGTCACCGGTGTCCTCGCGGTGGTTTAACTCGTCGAGTACCGGTTTTGTAGACACAATTATAGAACAATAGGTTGTGGTCACCGGTGACCGCTTGGTGTTTGACAGTTTAAGGTCCAAAAGATGTTCACCGAAATCTTTCATTGCGCTTAATTCTTAGCTTCATGCTTTACTTCACTCCGATGTCCGCCGCTTCTGCCAAGTCCACTAACACGGTACGTCGCCAGGTTCGTCGAAGACGGCCACGCAACTTTTACCCCTGAGAATTCCAATCCAAGGCTTGCTTTAGTATGTGGTTTAAGACCGAGACCCTCTCGAAGCGTGGCGTGTGGAACCTCTGAACCTCTCACCACTTGCGGCGTAGGATCTGGTCGATGACCATCACCAATACCATCACCACGATGGTCATCTGTCATCTGTCATCTGCCATTTATTCTTCAATTATAATTGATTAAGTGAATTTCAAATAAGAAAATTATTAACACCTACTTTGAACTCAGAACTAGGAAAAGTAGTAGGTAGATGATCTCTTCGGAGTGCAAGGAAGCACTAACAGAGAACTTTCCTGATGACAGAACTTTTGCGGATAGGTAGAATTAATGTAAACATATCTTGTCGTGTAAAATAAGCAAAAATCCAAAACTAGTGACTTACCTATATGTGTCATACTGCTTAATTAGATACTACCTACTTCAGTATAATATGTCTACCATGATAAATATTGAAATTATTATAACTTAGACTATCTTTCCTCCATTTTTATTTCCAACCAACAATTAACATATAGAGTAGGTACAAAAGCTATGCTTTTTAATTTAAGTGCTACATCCAACTAATTAAGTGCCGCACTTAACGAAAACAAACAAAGTAAGATTGCGGTTGAAAGATAAAAATCGCTACAAAAGAAAATATCCTGTCATTCATCTTTTCTTTGCAAGCCAAGTGAAAATAACGGATGGCAGTTTTTATTTTCTTCAGTGAAAAACTTGCTAAAGGTAGAAAGTGGCACAATTATTAATTAAAAAAACTACTAAGACTGAAGATTGTAAACACTAGATGCATTTTGTAATGAATTTTTACTCGAGATGAGGGTAATTTCGTGAAGTAGCGCCATCTATTGATTTATAACAGAATTAGAAATACTTACTTCACTAATTGGTCAATAGATGGCACTACTGAGTGGTTTTAATAAAAGCATTTAATTCGGTAATACACCAATATGTTATTATAGGTATTAAAATATTTCAGAATGATTAATTATATTTTTTGAAATAGAAATTTAATTTATAAAAAATTTTAATGTGGTCGAAATCATAGAAATGCGAAAAAAGATTGAACGCTGCCACAATAATTTCTACCCAGCTAAATTTAATGTCAATTTAGTGTTACTAGTAAAATGTATTTTGCAACTATTTCAGGAAATCTTTTCCTCTTAGTCTTTTTACACCACTCGATAGAGTAAAAGTTACACAAATGTGGTAATATAAAAGTCAATAATGGACAATGTACAGCAAGTAATAAAAGACAATAATATAATAACACTTACATGTAAAAATTAAGTTTCTCATAGTCATTTCTTTTTGCTATATTGTGTAGATATAATAATAGAAAAGCTGTAAATCTGTATAATTTTAAATATTTAACACACTAAATCATTCCCACTGTTCAAGTTTAGTTTTTCACCAAATATAGTACGATTTTTCGGTATTTTAGTATGTAACGATAAATCATGTCGAAATAACGAACTCCTGTTACAGATACTATAATATACCATAAAGTTACTTACAAATCTGATTTCAATTCATAGCAAAATAAAAACGATACCTTTTTTTAGAAGTTAAAAATATTTTGTGATTCTGAAAACTTTGCGTCAAATTAACGGTGAAGTTTACTTTGAGGTATTTTAGTTTTAAAAGTGTGACAACCCCAAATTTAGTACCGTACGAAACTACGCGACGTCGAAACCGCTTTTACGTCCGCGCTAATAAAACTCGTTGAAAATGCATACATCAAAATGGTAGAATCGCTACAAATGTTTTTATTTCTATTTAAATCTAAATACAGACGAAAATGTTCATGGTTCTCGCCATTCCTGTGTTCAGTGCTCATAGTGTTATTGTTCTGTGATGGTGTTCTGTCTAAGTGTGGAGATCATACTTGTGTAAACGGTGTGTGTAAAAATGATATGTGCGTGTGTTACGAGGGGTGGCAGGGTCCGGAGTGTCAGTACTGCGGCGGCAAAGTCAAGTAAGTCTTCCTGGAGTCCTCAAAGTGGTCGTAATACATTTTAGTTTGTCTGGTTCACTGACCTCTTTTTGAGGCGCGCCTTACTGGTTGGTAAGTAGAATTTGCAAGAGAAAGCCCGCGAGGATTATCCAATTATACAGTTTGGCTTCTTTCCTCCATCCCGGGCGGAGTTCTGAAGGTCGAAGTGATCGTGACGGCTAGGAAATTGATAATGTTGTCGATCCGTTTCTCTGGCCAACATTAGAGAAAATAACCTTTGCTAAATGAATAATTATGCTTTCAAAACGGCAAATTGGGGACGAAATGTTGTTTTAAAAATGTTTGGACACAAAACAAGGAGATTTAGACGTTTATTTTGCATTATCACGCTAAATGTGGCGTGTTTTAGTTCGTCTATTATTTATTTACAGTTTTTCAATACTGTATCAGCTGTTTCGCGATAACCTTTAGTTTTTTTTTAGGTTATCAGATTTTCTTATACAGCCTAATTAATAGGATGAGTAATGGAAAGAGGTTTTATGTTCACAGTGTTTATTAGATTAAAACTATAAACATGAGATAGTGTAAGATATAATGTGCATTGTTTTAGGGCAGGCTAAATCCCTCAAATACTAGTGTCTATTCATCAAGTAATTATGTTTTGATCACTAATGTGTTGATAGTTAATTAGAACTCAAGTGAAGCAGGGAATTAGGTACCTAGTTTCAAAGAAGAATAGTGTTTTTGCAATTGAAATACAATTGTGGTAGTTTTAACTAAAATAGCTAGCTAAGTACAAAATAGGCATATACAATTATTCTTAAATAGATTATCTTCTAGTCCTATCCCAATTACCTAGTTTTAAAGTCTTAATTAGATTGTGATTTCTGATAAGATTAATCTTAAAAAAGCCCTTACTTAATTGAAGAATCAGAGAAGGCAGAAACTCATTGTCTACATTACATATTAAAATTCATAAATAAAATGTATAAACAAGATAACTAAGTAATTTTCACCTGTAGATTATTATGTTAATTCAAAAAGGAAAATGTTACGATACAATACAGTATTAACTATAGAATGTGACGAAATAACCAAGTTATTGTTATGAAACGATCTTGAAAATATCTTTGCAATATACTAGGAAGTTTTGATTACAATACCTTGGTAGGTACTTTACGAGTGATGCATTTAATAGGTAAAAGTTTACCTTATGAGGTACCTGTAAAATAATAACTTTAAAACCACAAAGTCTTGATGTTTGAATGTGTAATATATGATCTATGATGTATGAATATGATTGTTACGCTTTTTGATTGAATAGAAGACTTACATAACATAACATCACGCCTTTTTATCCCCGAAGTGGTAGGCAGAGGTGCGCATTTCGACACTTAATGCCACTGTACAATGTAACACCCACTTTTCACTATTTATGCTATAAGTCCCATGTAATAGGGAGTGAGCCTATTGCCATATACTGGGCACATTTCGAGACTCCGTGCTACTACTGAGATTTAAAAAAAAACCCAGTAATACTTTGCCCGACCCGGGAATCGAACCCGAGACCCCTTGCCCTGCAGTCGCACTTGCGACCACTCGGCCAACGAGGCAGTCTTATGACTTATGACAACAGTCTTATGACAATAGAAGACTTATGCCCGAATAATGAGGTTATCCCATTTTAAGTTGTACTTATATATGATGCCATCTCTGTTATTTGTAGTGACGGAACTATACTTAACCCATGTGTCTAAACATGGATCCACGCTAGACATAGTGTATCTTCTATTGTGTCTCGTATCGGTGCATTCAAGTGGCTAAGCATGACTTAAAATTGAAAAGTGTTTCAGTACTCGGGCATTACTTTATTAAATAAAGCGAAAGGAATTAATCCTCATCTTTTTTACAATGTTTTCTAATAAGAAATCCAGGTATGTCAATCTAATTAGAACCAAAGTAATTTTTGATGTGTTAAGTAAATCCCTTTCTTTGACATATAAAGGTGTTTTAAATTCCCTAAGTTTCCAATGCCTCTGGGGAATAGTAGTTTTATTTGCTCTTATATCAGAGACTTGACTAATTTTTATAATAACTGCGGTCGCTGCGACGTCGCGCTGCTCATGAGGAAGAACCCCTCTGTGGTTCGAAACTAGTAGAGTTTTACTAAGTATATTCACGTGAATAACCCGCTATTTTAGTTCACTTGACTAATTATCCACATTAATCTCACACACAACTTATTTTTATTTAAAGTATTCCGATAGGAAATTCTAAAATTGATAGAAATAGACTGTTTTGTAACCTGTTTTACCGATTAAATACAAATTCATGTTTTAGCAACACAAGTATCAGATCCAGCGATCATCGGTCTATAAACAATTGTTTTTGTTTGATCCATATGTAAAACAATGACAATCAGATCCCACACTATATTTTGATTGTTATATTTATTATCTCTGTAATTAAATATTCAATGCAAGGTTAATTTATTGTATTTTTGTTCTGTGACATTTATTTTATCTCGGTTTTTCATGCGTTGGAAATAGGGGTTGATGACCTCCTTGTTTGTTGGGTTTTATATCTTCTATACCTATTTTAATGTCTATCAAAACTTTAGCTTTGCATCTAAGTCATGGTACTCAATATCAGGTGTACCTACATTAACCTATACTTCTATGTTAATACTATAAAGCTGAAGGGTTTGTTTTTTTGTTTGTTTGTTTGAACGCGCTAATCTCCGAAACTACTAATTCGAATTGAATAATTATTTTTGTGTTGCATAGTCCATTTATTGAGGAAGGCTATAGACTATAAAACATCTCGCTACGACCAGTAGGAGCTGAGCAGAGCGTGTGAAACCGCGCGGAAATAGCTAGTGGTAAAATATTGTTATTAGGTAAATTTTGATTGAAACTTTCGGCCAGAACTACCCTTACCTAATTATATCCGGGATATAAGCAATGTGACATTGACATGACATGTCACAATAATTTTATTTAGACCTTGCATGATGATCGTCTTTCCATTTTCTTTTGGTTACGTCATTGTAGGAAAAGTGTATGGAATAATAATTACTAATATATAAGTCTTTACACGTTATTAAACAACAACAAGAACATAACATCATGCTTTTTATCCCCAGGTAGAGGTGCACATTACGGCACTTAAATGCCACTGTACAATGTAACACCTACTTTTCACTATTTATGTTATGAGTCCCATGTAAAAGGTGGTGAGCCTATTGCGATATACCAGGTACAATTCCAGACTCCATGCTACTACTGAGAATTTTTTAAAAACCCGGTCGTACATTGCTAGACCCTGGAATCGAACCCGTGACCTCTTCCCCGACAGTCACACTTGAGAACACTCTGCCAAGAGGGCAGTAAATTTCAATGAGGCATTATAAGTTTTTAATAATAAAATGTTATCTTTTCCAGTTTAACATCACCAACGGGCTTCATAACAGATGGCCCAGGCAACTATAGTGTTAGCACACAATGTTCCTGGCTGCTCACTCCCCCCAGACTTGGGCCAACGCCTCCACCGCTACGGGTGCGACTCGAGAGCTTTGCAACCGAGTGCGGGTGGGACCACCTTTATGTATATGACGGTGATAGCGTTAGAGCTGAGAAATTACTTGCTGTGTTCAGGTGAGTGAAATTAGACTTTAGAGGATAAGCGATAGAGTTTGTAATAATTTATGATTAAAGTAGGTACTGCCTGGTCCAGTGAGATGCGATATTAAACTTTAGAACATTATGATAGAGTGAATTATCACTTAAAAGTTAGTTGCTCATCAGATTTTAATATTAATGTTAAGATGTGAAAATATTACTCCCATATACATAGAGTTACGGAGCTGGGACAGGTGGTTAGTAAAAAAAAATAATCGAAAAATAACTATTCCAATACAACACTAATTCCATCTGTCAGTTAGAGTAAACTCAATAACTCCTGGATGCTATTATCATGTGGCTTTTATCAAAGGATAGACTGATTCTAGTCGACGGTTGAACCTATGTTCTTCTTATTTAATGTTCTAATAAAGATGTATAGAATAATGTTCTCAAATTGTCAGCCTATCAACAAAAGTGGTGTAGGTATATTCTAAATGTAATTGTCGACAGTCAAGGCTAACGGGATGGGAGATAAAACACATGTATGTACATACATTACACATTGTAGCACATTGTGTCAATTGTCAAGTCAAGGTTGACTTTTTTTTTCTAAATATTTACAATTTACTTAGTAACCCTGGTTTCGAATGGGTTTCTCAGAAAATTTTCAAATAGGTATTTTTCTTATAACAACCTTAAATATCATTTTTTTTATGGGAAATATCAGCCGATGACTTCTCCCGCCTGGGTTAGGCGGGAGGGAGTGAAATTACCGGAGGCCCAATTATCTCCGCAATCCCTGAATCCTCAACAAAAATTCCTAATCCCCAAAAGGTCGATAACACACTTGTAACGCGGTGTTCCGGTTATCCATGGGCGACGCCGATTGCTTACCATCAGGTGATCCTGCTCGTTTACCAGCTTATAGTTACCATAAAATAACTTGTTGCCTTAGTTACCTTTAAAATGAGAACATTTTGTTGCAAAAGGAATTATTTCGTTAACAAGTCCTATAAAGTTCGATAAATTGAAAAAGTAAAGGCTAGTGACCCCGTCGCTTTGGTCCCAAGTGTACCTCTAGATCCTATAACTGATATATACCTAAGAAGTAAGCATCCTGTATACTATACTCTACAAAGTAGGCGTGTACTGTATACCTATTATGATATTATCCAATTTGGTGCAGTCGTTCAGTTTAGCTTTAGTTATGCACACACATACCTACCTACAGTTGGGTGATTCATTCATTTTTATTGTTGTGTTTGCTATTAAATTATAGCCTGAAACATCTAGGCTAAAAATGAGGCTATTTTGAAGTATGTATAAATAGGTAGCTACATTACATTAATTAATCTATATACTAATCTTTATATATGTATATATATAATTCTGTTGTACGTGTGTATGTCATTGAACTCCTCGTAAACGGCTTGACCGATTTAAATGATTTTTTCTGTATGCGTTTGGGTGGTCCCCTGGATGGTTTAGATTCACAATTCAGCCCAGCAGATGGCGCTCTTGGTCTTTCCTTTCATACCTTTTTTAATACCCTTATCGCTTGAAATATCATAGTTTGCAGGACAACGTCTGTCGAGTCTAAAAATGAAACCCGTTTCCCGTTGTCACGCCATAACTTGAGAATGGCTGGACCGATTTGGCAGATATTTTTTTGTTGTGTTTGTTATTGTCAGGAGAAGGTTCTTATGATAGAAAAAAATTCTGAAAAATTTTATGGGAACGCGAGAAAACGGGATTACGCGTACGAAGTCGCGAAGTCAATAATAAGAATAATATTTTTTACTTGTCTTATGCAAGAATACTGAAACGTTACTCAATTTTAAGTCGCGTTTAACGCCCAGTTTCTATAACTGGGCGTTAAACTGGTATGCTTATAGTCGCGGAGAACCTAACGGGTAACCGGGGCTCCGGCTCGACGTGCAGGAGAAGGAACGGGGTGGTTTTTAGTCAGTAAGAGTCTGACACTCCCTCCCGCCTCACCCAGGCGGGAGGAGTCATTCGATGATTTTCCCCCCTTAAAAAAAAAGGTATGCTTATAGAGACAGAATTTTGACATGAGCTCCATACAAAATGTGTCAAAATTCTATCTCTATAAGCAAATCTACAGATAGATAGGTTATTGAAACTGGACGTAAGTGAAGTTCTGTCTCCACAAGTTCTCTGTAAAATGAAAGAGATGGCACGATATTTAAGTAATTACAACTTAACATTGATTAGGTACAACTTAGTACCATTGATTAGCCTTTCAGTATTCGAGCGTTAATGTGAAACTTATGTAGATAAGTTAATGGCGATAAAAGTATCCTATATTTAAATTTTGGCTGGGCAACTGGGTTTGATTCCCGCACGGAACAAATCTTTGTGTGGTCCACAGATTGTTGTTTCGGGTCTGGGTGTCATGTGTATGTCAACTTGTATGTTTGTAAACGCACCCACGACACTGGAGAAAATCCTAGTGTGGGGCAACGCTTAAAAAAAAACTAAAAAAAATTAAACACCAATACTTATTCCTGACAATGAACACATCACCCTCCTTCGGTCAATCGGGTAAAAACAAGTATGTTACACCAGTGCTATACTTACTAAGGCGTTGACTCACCCAATTAAGAAAATTAAGTTTTCCTAGAAGCTATTTTAGATAGGGATTAGTTCTTTGTATAACTAGTTATAATTCTAATCAATGATGACGTCAACGTGTGAAGAACATCATTATCTATGTTCTACAGAATCTTTAATATTCACTGTCGTACTTAGAATGAAACTATATACCTACTAGCTTTTACCCGCGGCTTCGCTCGCGTCACAAAAGGATAAAAAGTAGTCTATGTGACATATATCAATACATACAGCGCCATCTATACCAATACTTTTGTTTTCCCTCGGGAATATCAAATTTTTTCGGGATAAAAAGTACCCTATTATTTAATCCAGACTACTAACTTTACGTCTGCAAAAATTCAATGCAATCGATTTAGTAGTTACGGCGTGAAGTCGGAACAAACAAACAAACAAACAAACTCACTTTCCCATTTATAATAGTAAGGATTTATAACAAGTGGCTAAGTGACTTGTTCTGTGTAGATGCCTTTAAAAAGGGTAGAGGTATACCTACGGTAAATGTGTGCACCTACTCTAGTACATCGAATCATCGTACACCTTGAGAACCTAACGGGTAACCGGGGCTCCGGCTCGACGTGCAGGAGAAGGAACGGGGTGGTTTTTAGTCAGTAAGAGTCTGACACTCCCTCCCGCCTCACCCGGGCGGGAGAAGTAATTCGATGATTTTCCCCCCTTAAAAAAAAATACCTTGAACTGTTTAGGTACCCGTGTAGCTATACAGCCTTGTTTTCTCACAAACCGCTGCAACTCTGATATGTATACAGTAGATACAACTATGAGAACACCGGAACACTGAAATCCGGCCCGCCCCAGAGACATGAATAACTGTCTTGGTACCCGCAATGAAATGAATCAGATATTATAAGAGGAGAAGAAAAAAAACAATAGTTTCCACTTCCTTCGGTGAATTAATGCAGAATACAGAATAGTTTAAGCTGAAAGGCACAAAAAGAGACTACAACTGGGAAAAGCCCAGTCGCCAAGCACTACGGAAATTTTTCTAATAACTAAGTGGGTCCTATGTGTGAACTGTTATACTTGCTTCCAGTAATAGGTCACAAAAAAGAATATATTATACAAAAGAGACCAGATACCAACACTCTGATAAATCTAAATCTTTTAAACTAGTTACTATCTCCAACCCGCCGTGGAAATAACAAACCCCATAGTCCAGTAGTGGACTCTATCAAGTCTTACGCGCTCTTGATGATACATCATCCTACCTGGACATGTTATGTTAGATTTTTAGGCTATTATTCAAGGCTTTTGAACTAATCCTCTCCTATCTCCAATTTCCAGTGGTGTCTTAGAAAATGGAGAGTCAAGTTGGACGAGGCAGGTGATAGCTCGTTCAGGCAGCGCGCTGCTGCACTTCTTCAGCGATGATGCATATGCCATGGAGGGGTTCAACGTGACGTATGCTGCGTACTCCTGCCCTTCCAATGATCATAGGACTAATTGTTCCAGTAAGTATTTGTGGTGATTTGTAAATGGTAGAAATGCTCTTGTTGGGTGTTTTTTTATGGCATAAGCCGGTAAGCGAGCAGACGGATCACCTGATGGTAAGCAATCGGCGTCGCCCATGGACACCTGGAACACCAGAGGTGTTACAAGTGCGTTACCGGCTTTTTGGGGATTAGGAGTTCGAGGATCGTTGGGGATTCAGGGATTGGGGAGATTGGGGAAGGGGAGGGTGATTTAAGATGAGTTGGTCAGTTATGTTTTTATTGGGGTCAGTTTGCGGTTTATAAATTGCTGTTTGGGTGCTATGAGAGTACTGTATCCTAAAGTTTGGCACTGAGGCCTTTACAAACATATGCATGCGTATAATTTGCATAATCTGTCTCTTTACGACAACCAATTAAAATTGCAGTCTTAATATAACATAACATCATGCCTTTTTTATCCCCGAAGGGGTACGCAGAAGTGCACGTTACGGCGCTTAATGCCACTGTACAATGTAACATCCACTTTTCACTATTTATGTTATGAGTCCCATGTAATAGAGAGTGAGCCTATTGCCATATACCCGGCACAATTCCGGACTCCGCGCTACTACTGAGATATTTTATAAAAACCCAGTAATACTTTGCCCAACCCGGGAATCGAATCCGAGACCCGCCCTTGCCCGGCAGTAGCACTTGCGAACACTCGGTAAACATGGCAGTCTTATTCATCAACAAACACTACACTTTTGATTAACGCCTAGTACAACACCTAGTAAACTATTGTTTAATCCATGGATTGAATCCTGGAAATTGATATTGTTAATTTTTTTGACTGCACGGTTGGTGCGGTGGCTGGGCAACCGGCTGCCGAGCAACGTGTCGCGGGTTCGATTCCCGCACGGATCAACACTTTGTGTGATCCACAAATTGTTGTTCCGGGTCTGGGTGTGATGTGTATGTGAACTTGTATGATTGTAAACGCACACACGACACAGGAGAAAATCCTAGTGTGGGGCAACGTTTTTTTTTTAAAAAGTTATTTGTATTTTGGCATAGTTAATACTGATTTACTAATAAAAATGTTTTGTGTTATTTCCAGATCACGGTGAATGTGAAGATGGATCGTGTAGATGTGAACCGGAGTGGACTGGAGTTGCCTGTGATGAGCCTCTGTGTCCAGGTAAACAGACGATAAAATTTTAGCAATAAATCTTTTTACTGCTGCCATAGTTAATTGCTTTTTAACCAGGATAAACCGGTAAACGAGCAGACGGATCACCTGATGGTAAGCAATCGACGTCCCCCATAGATACCTGGAACACCAGAGGCGTTACAAGTGCGTTACCGGTATTTTGCGGATTAGGAATTCGAGGAATGTTGGGTATTCAGGGATTGGGGAGATTGGGGAAGGTAAGTTGGGATTCCGATAACCGATAACCTCACTCATACAACGCAAGTGTTGCTTCACGTCGGTTTTCTGTGAGGCCGTGGTATCACTCCAGTCGAGCCGACCTATTCGTGCCGAAGCATGGCTCTCCCACACTTAAAACTTTCTTCTGACCTTTTCACAATAAATTTTGGGGTCTGACTACCACACTGAACTAAAACTTAACTAGATCAGGTTTAATGACAGCTTTTCCATGAAGTGAGTGTCGACTTAAAGGGTTCTATAATTTCAAATCAGGTTTTTATTTCGATATACCGACTCGATCAAGTTGCAGGTATAAAAGTTGTCATGACAAAACCCAAAAAATATTTTTGTCCGACATGGGCCGGGCATCGACCTCATCATTAACTTTATGTGTGTGTTATAAAAATGAAAGATTTGTTCATTTGTTTGCATCGCACAAAACTACGAAATTACTGGACTGGGACTATAGTCAGAATTTTAATTAGATTTCAGATTTGACAATAGCTACTGTCATTTTGTGAAATAATGACACCACATATAATAGTGTAGTGATGAACACAAAAATCGATAAACAATCAGTGTGTATGTTTTATAATAAATGTTACAGAAAGTGACAGGATAGCGATAGCGATGACGGTGACAATTTATAAAATAACTTATTCCCATAATACATCTATCTGTTGTATTTGTCATGTTCCTTCATGATTACATTTTTTAATTATTTCACACACAATTATAAAAGAAAAGTCTCAGATCGTTAATTAATCGTCAAAACTAAATTATCGGTTCAGAAATATTTAATTTCCTGATATACTTAGTTTACGGGAGTAAAATTATAAACGAGAAGAATCGATCCAGAAATATTGCATCAGTCACTATTTAGTACTTGTCATAACGTTGCAACTCTGAAATTGTCAAATCTGGAATCGAATTAAAATTCCGAGTATAGAAAGAATTATTTAAATTCTTTCAACACTGGGAAGATTTAATCAGGCTTAACTATTTATTTATACTACATGACTGCACGGTTGGTGCGTCGGCTGGACGACCGGCTGCCGCGCAACGTGTACTGGATTCGATTTCCGCACGAAAAACTCATTATGTGATCCACAAATTGTTGTTCCGGGTCTGGGTGTCATGTGTATGTGAACTTGTATGTTTGTAAACGCACCCACGACACAGGAGAAAATCCTATTGTGGGGCAACGTTTTTACATACATACATACATAACTTCACGCCTGTCTTCCATGGGGGTAGGCAGAGACTAAGGAACGCCAATTAATACGATTTTTACATACCTCTTTCGCTTCATTAACAGTCATCAATATTTTCATGCATGCTCGTCGGTTAAGGCAACGTTTTTCTACCAAAAAATAAATTGATATACCTCCAAAGCCGGAACATACTAGACAAAAATCTTTCCAAATTCCACAGGCGGAAACCTAGTCTATTTATAAGCTAATATCATTAATCTTTCACTGAAACAATTAATTTACTTAAGTGGATGAACTTAGTGTGTTTTTACTTCACACTTTTTCACCGAATCTTTACTATAAATAGAATTAAAAGGTTCGGTGCTAATAATACATGGGCGACCTTTATACCTTTCTAAATTACGGTGTGGTTTTTATATCATAGGTTGGTATGACCTTGAGTTTACTCATTACAGTACGGTTCGTAGAAAAACTAATAAAGCTGTCGATTTTAGTTCATTTATTATTTAGCAATGCGGCTTGGAATGTTTGTTGAATTGTGCTGTGATTTTTGTATGTGAATGTACCGTGCGGTGATTTAGCACCACCCCCTTGTCCTTCCCCGGGGGCAATAAAAGCCACTAACTTCTAAAATCCAGTGTATACCGTATTACCAATGTTTAGATCCTAATTTTGTTTGACCAAATATTTGTTATAAAAAATTAACAAGTGGCAAGCTGCTAAGGGATTATACATTTACGGAGCCGCGGAAGGCCTAACGGGTGGAAGTGCAGGAGTAGGAACGGGGTGGTTTTTAGTCGGTTAGTCTGACACTTCCTCTCGCCTAACCCAAGGGGGGAAAAGTCAATGGATGATTTTCCACCCTCAAAAAAAAAAAAAAAAGAATTACACATTTATTAGGCAGAGATTAGGCAGTAGCGCTCTGTGATAAACCTGAACTTATTAAACGACGACCTCCACCGACTACATACTTATGTAGTAGAAGCCGTAGTCCAGCTGAACTGTCATGAGTCGATCTTAATGTGATGTAGTTATCTGTAATATATAAAAATGAATTGCTGTTCTTTAGTCTCGCTAAAACTCGAAAACGATTGGACTGATATAGCTAATTTTGGTCTTGAAATATTCGTAGGAGTCCAGGGCACGTTAAAAAGACGAATAAAAAGAATTTTAGGCGTTACGAAGTGTGCTAGGTCAGCTAGTCTATAATTTAACTTGAGAATGAAATGAGAATGTTATGTTCCAGAGGAATGCAACGCAGCGTACGGCGGCGGCACGTGTACGCGCGCGGGGTGCGCGTGCAGCGCGTTGCGGCGCGGCATAGCGTGCGCGCGCGACGCCTGGCGCGCCGGCTGGGCCCCGCCCACCCACAGCGGGGACACGCCCCCCGTCGCCGCGCATGTCTTGTTGCCGTATGGAGATGACTTGCTAAGGGTTGGCGGGGAAACGTTTGCGCATTCGCATTTTCTTTATAGGTTGGTATTGGCCTAAAATCGCGGGCTACTCACGTGAATATACTGAGGAAAGCTCTACTAGTTTCGCGCCACAGGCGGTCGCGGCGACGTCGCGCAGCCTACTGGCTAGCGTTGGTGATTGCGTTGGTATTGTTATAAGAAAAAGTTTTATTTGTCCTGTATTAGTCCTACAATCAAACTTTAAATGAAAGTCAAGGTTAAAATGAAACTACCGACCTGTCCCGGCTTCGCACGGGTGCAATATGCATGTATTATACATACAAACCTTCCTTAAGAATCACTCTATCTATTAAAAGAAACCGCATCAAAATCCGTTGCGTAGTTTTAAAGTTCTAAGCATACATAGGGACAGACACGCGGATAGCGATTTTGTTTTATACTATGTAGTGATTGTTCTGAAGACGTAAGTTTCGTCGTGTTATGCTTTGATAATCAAATGCAACTTAAGATAACAGTTGATTCGATTGACAGACTTGGGATATGAACATGTACCCATCAGTATGTATTAAACTGATACTATAATCTGTACATGTCACCTCTATTTAGCGTGTGAAATAAATTTATTTCTTTCTTTCTTCTCCAGATATAAGACAGCAGAACAAGAATGGGAGGTGCTCCCAACGTACGACAGTCCGGCGGCGAGGTTTGCGCACTCCGCCGTCTTATACGGACATGAGCTAATCGTTTATGGAGGGGTTGTTATTTCTGATGAGCCAGAAAGGGGGTGAGTGTTGTGTTAAATGTTTTTGTCTAATATTGCCAAAGAAATACTAAATTATGTTAATATTGCGATTTATTTCGGACTTGCTCGACTACTTTCGTACCACACCGGAGCCCTGAAGAAGCCCGGCTCGAAACTGATCGGCCATCTTCGAAATACTACATATAAATACTATAGTATCTTTGTGAGAGTCATGCCTGACTTTCCAAATATTTGAATAAACTCAAACATTAGCGTCCTCAGATTTTGGTCGAAACTTTTGGCTAAGAGACCATTAGCAGTTACGACTAACGATACAGTGATTATCAAATCTACTAATAACTAATATTAACTCGTCGAGTACCGTCATTATAGACACAATTATAGAACAATAGGTTGCGGTCACCGGTGACCGCTTGGTGTTTGACAGTTTAATTAATAAAACCAATCTACATATTACAGTGGTGGCCTAGCAGGCTTAGAAGGTCGTGCAGGAGAGGTAACAAATGAGATCTGGCGCGTCCGACTCAATAGTGAGAGACCACAATGGCACAACGCCACACCAGTTACTTGTTCACCGCATAGACAGCCGCCTTTGAAGCATTGTGGTACGTTATTATCGACTTAATGATTCTTTATATTAGGTTTACAATTGAGTGAGATTGCTGAAACATTCTAGTTGGTGATTGTGGAACTTATTGTTCAGGGTATAAGGTTCAAATCGAGTGATAACACTTTAAAGTGTTGTGATAAACGATTGTGAACCTTAGAATGATTTGAATAAGGTTGTTTTATGTAGTCACTTTAAAACATTATTGTAACCTACTGTGGGCCTAAAAGGTGAAAAATGCAATGACTTCAATTTAATCTGTTGTTTTAAGCTAATGTGGACTTAATTTATCTTTGTGTTAGGTTTAAAATGAAGTGGGTTTCGGAAATTTCTTTTTTTTCTTTCAGGTGGTCTCCACGTATCTGGACACACAGCTGTACTGGTCTACCTAGGAGTTACGAAGAAACCCGTGATGTTAGTCTTCTTCGGACATTCACCGCATTACGGATACCTACATTTAGTGCAGGTTAGTATTGTAATAACATTTTAATTTATATGATTACAAACACTATACCTTTAGATATATAAACACAATCAAAGAAAGAAGTGCACTGTGTTCTACACTATCACATAATCAACCTGGCATGTCCATAATTATTGTATTATAGCTTCTGCCTACGACTTCGTTCCGGCAATCCCGTTTTCTCCTGTTCCTGTATGATTTTCAGGGTTCAGAGAACCGTCTCCCGACAATAACAGACACAACAAAAAAAAATATTGAATTCGGTCCAGCCGTTCACACGTGATGGTGTATTGGCGGATGTAGGGATTCATTTATATACATATATATACTCCGTCTGTTTAGGTAGTTAACTATTTGTAAACAAACCATAAAAAGAGTTCTTTACAGTTGACATTTCCATGATTCAAAATACTTTATCTATCTATACTTATAATAAATCTGTAGAGAGGTCAATTCTGTACATAAAATATATTTAAAAAATAACTATCAAGGGGTGGTTAGGGATCGCTACTGATGCCAAAAATGCAATCAGTAAAATTTTTGTCTGTCTGTCTGTCTGTCTGTATGTTCGTTATGGAAACAAAAACTACTCGACGGATTTTAACGAAATTTAGCATAATTATTCTTCATACTCTTGGGCAGGTTATAGTATCCTTTTCATTACGCTACGATCAATAGGAGCAGAGCAGTGAAGGGAAATATTGGGAAAACGGGAGAAGTTACTCCATTTTTAAGCTTTCGTCGCGTGTGCAGGTTTAATGTTTGTTACTCAGTCATATTAAAACGACTGAAGGGACCGGTATGAAATTCGGAACAGAGGTAGAATATGGTGTGAAGTAATACATTGGCATTTTCCCCCTAGGATCACGGGCGAAGCCGCTGGCAGAAGCTAGTAAGAAAATAAAATTGTTTCCATTTTTACGACAGTTTTCTCTATTAAATGTTATGTTTCTGTTGCTTTTCACTTATTTCTTAGTAAATATTATATATATCTGCTTGAGCATAATAATATAATAACATTTATTAAATAATATAATATTTCATTACAATAGACACCATAAAGAGCCTAAAATCCCAGGTATCCAAAACCTTTCTAAGAACGAAGCATTAGATAATGTTGTCAAATTAAAGAGTACAATTAAGATGTAGCGCAACAATGAAAGTAGCGTGTATTACGTTTAGTCGGTTAATCAGGCGCCATTGACAGCTCTCTCGTCGTTTGCGCTCGCGTTCCTATTTTGTTGAGTTTATCTTGTTTCTTTGTTTTGTTTTTGTTATTAAGTTATTTAAGTTTAGGTTATTCATCGTTTGTAATTAATGTGTTCAAATATATTGAAGAAACTTGGCCCAAAGACACATATCCGTACAAGAAAGAAATCCGTACATCAGATTCAAAATAGTTTCTATTTAAACATGATAATGAAATAGACCAATAGGCTAGGCTCTTGTACGATTTAGACATTTGTGCTTGTATGTGTGTGTGTGACAAATGAACGATGTTAAAGTAAATTTAGTTTAAATTAAAACACGAGAAATATTTGAAGTAATAGAAGGTTAAGTATCTCTGTGTCACGTGGTTTTGTTTGTTTACCTTTAGTTAATTACCTAAACAGATGGACTATAGATAGATTAACTATTTTGGGACACATAAAATTACTTAGATCTATTATGTTTGTAACAAATTCGGGGAAAGAGCTAGACCTATGTGGGTAGTTTAATTCATTCATTCTCACGCTTTTTGCGACCAAGCTTTTATTTTTGATGAGAATATTGCAACATGTTTGATGACATATTTCATTGTCTGTATCGCATTTGTACGATAAACACAAAATGGAGAAAAAAGTTAGAAATACTCATTTTTAAAAGCATGGCTTACGCTTGTTAGCAATCACAAGGGCTTCTTTAGTCAACCGTTTGATATAGACCTATAAACACTGATATGCTGTAGATGTGCAAATTACAGAAAATACTCGTACCCCGCCTTACTTACGACATCTACCTTGTTTTTCTGTTCTGTGAATACAATAGCAATCATTTTGTGTGTAATGTCTTCATGTTGTTATTGCCACTTCTAAGAGACGTCGTATTTCTTCGTTCAGGAGTATTACGTGGACGAGGGAGTATGGGCAGTGGCAGCGACGCGTGGCTGGGCGGCCCGCGCGGGCTTCGGCCACGCCGCGGCCTGGGACCCGCTGTCGCGCCGCGTCTATCTGCACGGCGGACTCGTGTCGGAGTCCGAGGCCACGCAGGTACTATAATAAGAATAATATAATAATAATAAATCTTTTATTTCGGACCATTTTTCTTTTATCCATAGTTTTGTTAGTAATTGTGGGTTAGTAACAGTATTCCTTAAATTATGTTAGTATTGTTAGATTTATCTGTTCTCGTTTTTTGGTATGACTGTCGCCACCCAGTGTCTCTGCAAGGGACAGTCTGGTATGGCAGCAATAATTTTCAGAATACTATACCTACTATTCGTGTATTGCTTTAGCCTAGGACCCAAATATTGGGCCTCCGGTAACCTCATTCACGCGGCGAAACGCAACGCAAGCGTTATTTCACGCCAGTTCTGTATGATGCCGTAGTATAACTCCATTTGTATCAACCCAGCATTGCAGAAGCATAGATCTCCCACGTTTAAAAATCTCACCTCAATCTCAGAAAACAAATCTAAAGAGCTTCAAATCTTAAAGAAGTAATAATGAAATATTATGTCTATTTTGCAGGCTCCATCGGCATCACTCTTCGAGTACGATCCGGAACTAAGACTGTGGCGCCCTCTACAGTCGGCGCCGACACCTAGATATTTACACACAGCTACGTTTATTACACCAGGTAAACTTGCTGACACTTTTACTCTCATATATTTGTTTTTTGGAATAGGTCTAGACGAATACGAGCAGACGGATCACCTGATGGTAAGTCACCGCGTCGCCCATGGACACCTGAAGCACCAGAGTTCGTTACAAGTGCGTTGCCAGCCTTTTGGGGATTAGGTATTTGAAGATTCTTGGGGTTCAGGGATTGGGGAGGATAGAGAAGGAGAGGGGGGTGGAGGTGGGGGGTAATTGGGCCTCCAGTAACCTAACTAACACGTCGAAAAACAACGTTAGCGTGGTTTCACGTCGGTTTCCAGTGAGGCCGTGGTATCACGCTTTCCATTTATCAATGTATGTTTTTATTTCGTAGGTGTAATGTTAGTATTCGGCGGTAATGCCCACAACGACAGCGCGGCGGCGCTAGTGGCGAGTCCGGCCGCCTCCAAGTGTTACTCCGCCGGGGCGCTGCTCTATGATGTCAGGTAACTAGACTGTATGACTTTGTATCTTCTTACTTATATTAAAAATTTACTTCATCCAGCGTGCGCGTTCTTGTGGGACAAAAGTGACTTATGTGTTATTCCATAATCTATCTCTGTTGCAAATTTCATCCTGAACCCCCTAGCCGTTTTTTTTTAAACGTAGCCCAGCCGTAGGATTTTCTCCTGTATCGTGCGTTAACAAACATACAAGTTCACATACACATGACACCCACACCCGGAACAACAATCTATGGATCACACAAAGAATCAGAGATCACACAATAAATAGTAATATGATTTTGTGTTTGTCTGTATGTTTGTTACCCAATCACGTCAAAACGGCTGAAGGGATCGAGATGAAATTTTAAACAGGGATCCGGAATAACACATAAGTCCACAGGATTGTAGACGAAGCTACTTATGTGTAACACCCACAACGATAGAGCTGTGGCGCTAGTAACGAGTTCGTAGAGAGCTGATAACAGCCATCCTCGATTAGTTTCAAGCTACTCTAGGGCCCTAATCTGCAACTACTGAAAAACATGTATTACGGAGATGTCAGACTAGTTTCGCAAGTGTCAAGTTTATTCATATAAATGTTATTTTCTCTGTATAGATGTGGAGTATGGTGGAACACTGCGGGTCCCCGCGCGGGCGCCCGCGCGGCCCATGCTGCGGCCCCCATACATACTAAAGATAGACGCGCTGTACTCATACATGCGGGGTGAGTGCTTGTAATTTATCGTACTGTGTTTTTTCTGTCCTGTAATTGTCCTATAGGGATTATGACTCAAATTACATTGTATTAACTTTGTTCACGTTCTTCTTCTTTCGACGACTTTCTAAAGTTATGATACTTAAATTAATCTGTTTAATTTTAAACTCGGTAAAATCAGTCATCCATAAAGTCCCAGATGAATAATCCTTAACAAAATTATAGCAATAATTTTATGTTAGTTAATAGCACTTTAACATTTGGTGTCAATTTTTTTTTGGTGACAAATGGATTAGATTTATCCAACATTCTTTATAGAAATGGTAATCTCTTAAAGAAAGAAAGAAACAAAAATAGTTTATTTGCACACCGTCACAAAGTACGATAGCATAAAAAAGAAAAAAAGTTAAAACAGTAAAGACGGCGCAAAAAGGCCAGAACTCAACTTAAATGCCGTGACCCGAGTGCACTCGAGTCGCGGCGCAGATATAGATATAGATATCCGTATCATAAATATACCCATTACTTTTTTAAGAGATGAGCCGGTAAACGAGCAGACGAATTACCTGATGGTAAGCAATCGGCGTCGCCCATGGACCCCCGGACCAGAGGCGTAACATGTGCCTTACCGGCCTTTTGGTGGTTGAGAATTTGAGAATCGTTGGGGATTCAGGGTCTGATGTGTGGGTGTAATTGGGCCGCCGATACCTCACTTACACGTCGAAACACAACACAAGCGATGTTTCACGTCGGTTTTCTGTGAGGCCGTGGTATCACTCCGGTCATTCGTGCCGAAGCATGGCTCTCCCAGACTTAAACTTTCTACTTTGAAAGTTCACAAACAATTTTGAACCTACTCTCTAATCAACAAGCCCCACATTTCCGCAACAGATTCGACGGGCGGCTCCGGTCGGACGCGCTGATATTCGAGGCGGGCGAGGGCTGCGGGCGCCACGCCAGCGAGGCCGCCTGCCTCACGGCCGCGCAACATACTGCCGTCGCCTGCGTCTGGAGGGCGCGCGACAGAGCTTGTTTGCCCGTAACTATACCATTCAAACTACACTAAACTTGTCATTTCGTGTCCTCTCCTGTAAGAAATAGGTAGTAGTAGTAGTAGTAGAAATTATTTTTGTAGAATAGAGAGTCAGTCAAGGAGATAGATAGGTCTTGAATTTGTATCTTATCGTGTTATGAATAAGGTTTGTTTGTGACTGGTGTTGTTGAAAAAATCATCTATGGAATAGGACAATCAAGAAGGCGGATTACTATCAGCGCTTCACAGATGTCATGTCGCCCTTTTGAAGGAGGAGGATTGGATCTGTTTACATGGCGAATCGACACTTTGTTTCCTTTAAAAGGCTTCGGTCGAACCGGATCAGTATTACAAATAATTAAAGCGAGGGTTCGATGTCACTATTTTTTATTTCCTAATATTATTTTAAAACTACAATTACAACCGCCTTTAATCCTAATCCCTTTTTTGAAGTCGGTTGATTAACATACTAAAACGAACCTTTTCCTAATTGTAACAAATACTTTTTTGAAAACCATATCAAAATCGGTTTGGCCAATCACGAGATATTCGTGCACAAACATACACACAGGTCAAATTGAGAACCTCATTTATTTTGAAGTCGGTTAAAAATAATCGTTATACTGTAGAAATTTTATTCTTTTGTAAAAATGGAATATTATTATATATTTTTTAAATCTTTTTGCAGCTGGAAGAAGTGGGCTGGAAGGAGTCATTTGACGGTACAGTGAAGGCGTGCCTCACGGAGCCTAGGTTTGGTAAGGGTAAGCATGTTGCTTTATTATATTGTGTTCTATGTTCAGGAGAAAAACATGTAGAAGCTATATTCTGGCTTTGTTAACGATATTGATAAGTTGATGTTTAGCTTTCACTGAGTGTTTATCTTCTAACCAAAGGATTTCTCTCTATAAGAGGTTGCTTTCAAATACTCTTACAGATTTCTGTAAGCACGATAAAAGTTTATATTTTAATGTTCTAACCTCAGTTTTACTATATCGTTGATGGACAATGAAACTTGAACCTAAAACATTCAAGAAAGAGGCGGTTTAAAAAACAATTTCCAACTCACCTACAAAGCTTGGAAATCATAACAAAACCCCATTTAGATGAGACCCATTATCTAGCAGTGGGCTGTTCAGGGGACAATATAATTGAAAAGATAAAGGTAGCTGTAGAATAGACTAAAAAAACCCGAGCGAAATTGGAAAAGGTGAGAAAGGTTAAGAAGCAAAAGATAAAAAAGCAAAAAAAAAAATAAAGCAAGAGATAGTTATAAGCTGTAGCACCAAAGTGGACATGAAGTTGGTCCAAAGTCAGGTCCAAAAAAGGACGATCTCAAATTGGAAGTAGTTAAAGCAAGTAACCCACTGCTCAGAATAGCAATTTGCTGTCGTATCATACAGACACAGAGCTAGGAGAACACATATTTGCTCAAAATAAACATCTTCTGGGTGACGTCAGTATACAGAACAGCATCATAACCTGTGATCGGAAAAAGGTGAGCTAATTTACCTAAGCTTCAAGGAACAAATACAAAAAGTGGAGACTTCCTTACTACAACATTTTTTTCGGGAAACTTTTGATTCCAATTTCGGGATATTTATTATTCATATTGCACAATGTACATAATTATAATATGAAGTATTACATACAACTAATTCAGTACATTACCGTGTTAGGGCGCAGCAATTTAAAACGTTACAAAATTTAGTGTCAGCAGTTGCGGTTTCTTTCTAGCTTTTGACACGATTTTAGGTTTTTGTTAATTTTGGTGTTGAATAATTTTATTTTATGCTCTTTCTTACATCTTAAAACATGTATTGTTGAAAACAATAAAAGTTTTCATTCCCGAAACTGGAACCGCAACTTTCCCGAAAAAAATATTATAGTAAGGAAATCTCCAATTTTTGTTTTTGTTCCTTGAAGTTTAGGCAAATTAGCTGACCTTTTTCCGATCACTGATCATATAAGAAAAAAGGCACAGAACCCAAATGAGTATCGCCCCATGTTAGAATTATCACAAGCGATTTCTGGAGGCTGGTAAAATTTATGTGACATTGCAGAGCAATGTGCTCTCACAAGTTGCCAATGGCAGTTTTTAACCAAATAGACAGTAGATTAACATAACATAATACATACCACGTCTTTTATCAGTAGTAGGCAGAGGTGCACACAGAAGTAACACCCACTTTTCACTATTTATGTTATTAGTCCCAAGTAATAAGGGGTAAGCCTATTGCCATATACCGGGCACAATTCTAGACTCCATGCTACGACTGAGATTTTTTTAAAACCAAGTAATACTTTGTCGGACCCGGGAATCGAACCCGAGACCCTTGCCCGGCAGTCACACTAGCGAGCACTCTGCCAGCGAGACAGAGTAATAATATCCGTCGTGTCCCAGACGAGCGGCGCTGCAGTATGGCGGAGTCGTGCGCGGCCTGCACGGCGGCGCGCTGCGCCTGGTGCGGGGCCTGCCACGTGTCCGCCATGTACTGCGTCCGACACACGCACCAGGTAACTATATACGCACGAATACTCAAAACTGAAATCCTATCCTGCAGCTGTAGCGCTTGTCTACTTGTAGAGTAGAAAACTAAATGATATGGAATTGACGTAAATTTTGACACTAGTCATTTTTTTTAAATGGGACAAGCCCGCCATAACCTCCCAAAACCGCTGCAACTCCTGTAAGCCAGGATCTACAGTAGATACAACCATGAAAACCCCAGAACACTGAAGTCCGGCGCGTCCCAGGGACATGAGTAACTGTCTTGGTTCCCGCAACGAAGTGAATCAGAAGATATTATAAGAGGAGAAGAAGAAAAAACTATGGTTGACACTACTCAGTGTCATCTCCATACATTTAGTTTTCTACTCTCTCTGTAGACAAGCGCTAAAGTGGCGTTTGGCTAATGACACTGATCTATAAATAATCCCGTTTTTAACCCATTAACCGCCAAAAATAAAACAGCAGTAGTATTATTACAAAACTTTTATTTTCATGTTGTCTATGAATCAAATAAACATAAAAAAATAAAAAATATTGAAAAAAGAAATTAGGCTATTCAGGAGAGGGGTGTACCCAATTGGGTACAGCGGCGGTTTATCGATGAAAATTTTCAAAACATTGTTTTTCCACACATAATGTTTTTATACACTTTTTGCATTGCCAACGAACTCTCGCGTGACAAACAACACATCGCAATGGTTTTTCAATCTTTTTTGGGTAATGCCCCACACCATCTTGAGGCAAACCTTGCACTATTGAGGATGACGGTCGAGTTTTATGGTCTGTTTTTTGGCGTAAGTAATATCTTGCAATAGCTCGTCGAAACTGTAGCTGGACCATTTTATCAGTATGACTCAGAACATGCAAACGCCATGAATTTGCAATCGCCATATCAACCATGTAGGTAAACAAAACCAACCACCACTTTTTTCCGTGAACAGCAATCCTGTACAGTGCAATTGATTGGTCTAATTCATCGACACCCCCCATATTTTTATTATATGTTTGAAATAGTTTTGGTATGTTGACATCAACCTTTTGACGTTGTGTTGGAGACCATCGCTTTACAACTCCCAGTGGTTCAATGGTATCGTAATTTGTCGCCATTGTACAAACACTATTATCCTTCCATCTCACTAATAATATTTCATTTTGCTTATCAAACCTGTAATCATATGAAGCACAATCTTCTTTCTTCATATCTTTAGTGTTTCTCAGAGGGCATTTCTTCGTTCTGTTTTCTCGAATGGTTCCAGTTGCTCGGTACCCTTCTTTTTTCAGCTCGAATAAGAGATTATAGTTGGTAAAAAAGTTATCAAAAAATATTTGATGGTTTGTTGGATCAGTCCTCAGTTTCTGTAATAACGATTTGACTACTCTTGATCCTAAAGGGTCAGTAGAGTTTATTATCATACAGTATATTATCATACAGTAAAATTTTTTCAAATATGTGTACGGGACTAAGTTCTCCGAGCTGTTCTTTTACTGCTTCCTGTCTTTGTTGCACATCAGATCTTTCTTCAGTCGTAGAAGAGTATATAGGGGAACACTTACGCCATACAGGCTGACATAGTTGCTGTCGCCTTCTCTTTGTCTTTTCTGCCAAAGGTTCGTCGTCGCTGCTGTCATCACTTTGAATGATGTCTTCGTTGGCTCTAAAAACCTCAATATTACCAGGCACATCCTGCGGCAAAGTAGCGGTAACCATGTCCTCGTCGACGCCTTCTTCTTCATCTGTAACGACGCTAGGTTCTGGCGGTATAACAGCAAAGTCATATTCGCCATCACTGTCACTCTCATCCAAAACAGTATTGACTGCTTCCTCTAAGCCTTTGTAACAGTTAGAAACGTTAAAATTTCTCGAACTCATGGTAACGAAATCCTAGAACAATTAGCACAATCGTTATATAGATTCGGCCGCTGTACACAATTGGGTACAGTGATCTTTCAAGCACGATAACTTGGTAAATACGAATTGTTAAATAGTTTTTTATTATTTATTTTACGAATAAGGATGTATAAAACAAAAAAAAAATATATCAAAAACTTAGGTTATGAAAACACAAAAAAATTATTATATTAGTGAACTTACCTCGATAAACGATTATATCGTAAAGTTGAAATCCTCACTGTGACAGATTATATGAATATACCCACATAAATTGTGATTTGTTTGATGCTTGAACTATCACTTTATATTATAGGTCGAAAAAAACAAATATAGATTAGTAAATTTATTGTCTACCCTCAATTAATTAGCTGTACCCAATTGGGTACAGAGGCGCCAAATGGGTTAAACTGTCAAACACCAAGCGGTCACCGGTGACCGCAACCTATTGTTCTATAATTGTGTCTACAAAACCGGTACTCGATGAGTTAAAGCATTGATGAATTTTATCATAACTGTCACCTAACCTCGTCTGTCGATATATGAGACACAATAGATAGATGCATTCTGTCTCGCGTAGGTCTAAGCTTCGACACACCTGCAGCTGTAGCCAAATGCCATTTAGTGCTTGTCTACTTGTAGAGTAGAAAACCAAATTATATGGAATTGACGTAAATTTTGACACTTTGTCATCCCCATACATTTAGTTTTCTATTCTCTCGGTAGACAGGCGTAAAAGTGGCGTTAGGCTAAAGGCACTGATTTACAAATTCCATTTTTAAAACATTTTCGAATTCTATCATAACTATCAAGTGATTCATCGAACGAAGTTGATTAGAGGTTAAGTAACCTTTTGTCTGTCGATATATGAGACACAAGACTTAGACGCATTATGTCTCGAATAGATCTACGGTCCGACATACCTGAGGTTGAATAATATTTTCTTTATTATTTTTTTCTAGAAGAATATTGAACAATAGTGTTACATTGTCCGTCCAGATGGCGCTGTCCATCGAGGAGTGCGGGTCGGACAGCGAGTCCCCCCGCGAGGCGTGCGGCCGGTACCACTCGTGCGCGGCCTGTCTGGCGCACCAACACCACCACGCACACGTGAGGACCCACTCACATTGTTATAATGTATCGTTCATTGATCTAAATTATAACATAACTAGCGACCCGCCCCGGCTTCGCACGGGTGCAATATACATGTATTATACATACAAACCTTCCTTAAGAATCACTCTTACTATTAAAAAAAACCGCATCAAAATCCGTTGCGTAGTTTTAAAGATCTAAGCATACATACGGACATACAGCGAAAGCGACTTTGTTTTATACTATGTATTGATATCATGTCTTTTACTCCCGTAGGCAGAGGTGCTAATTACGGCACTTATTGTCACTGTATAATGTAACACCCACTTTTCACTACATTTGTATTTATGTTATGAGTCCCATGTAATAGGGGGTAAGCCTATTGCCATATACCGGGCACAATTCCAGGCTCCGTGCTACTACTGAGAAATTTTAAAAACCTCAGTTATACTTTGTCTGACCCGGGAATCGAACCCGAGACCCCTAGCGAACTAGCGAACGCTCAGCCAACGAAGCAGTTGATCTCAATTATATCTTCATTATTTGCCTCTATAACCAAATATAGACCGGTCACCGCTCTACTCTTACTCTATTATAGACCTTATATTTGATTTTTAGAGATTACTTTTGAACAAATGTTGTGATTTTTTTATAATCGTGGATTCAGAAGATTACTAAAAAGCTAATAGATTCTTCAAATTAAAATTGTTTATAATATTTTGGTTCACAAGTGCGCTTAAATATCTCCTCAAAATTGAACTCTAAAAATTCACTGAACTAAAATGAGTTAGAAGTCCATTAATGTATATTAAATTATTTATTTTTTACCTCGGCTTACTCATGTAATTATTTGACGAGGATCTCGACTAGTTCCAAACCATGCTAGAGGCTCACATTCATAAGCAGGATTGCGCGACCCACGACACAACTTTTGTCTCTATATGTGCCTCTAGCATGGCTTGAAACTAGTCGAGTATCTCGTCAAATAATTACGCGAGTAAGCCGAAAAATAATAATTAATTTAGCATGTCTCACGAAAGCAATAATACAAATAATGTATCTTGGTGTTAAAAGAAAATGGTCGTTTGAATTTATGTTTCGGTTTTTTTCCTAGGGATCTGAAGAACTAAGCCAACGAGCTTGTTTCTGGGACTACGATACGATAAAGTGTAAACCTGTCAATTCATCTGAAGATATAAGGTATGTTACATAGAAATTATTTTCCTTCTCTATTAAATTGTGTTTGTGCTGTTTTAGTTTTTGTTATTTTTGCGCAACATAAAACATGTGTATAAAAGTTTAGCGCAATGAGAAAACGGTTGCGCAAATTTGCGCAAATAGAAAAAAATGCGAATAGTTCTATTTTTATATTTTTTATTATTAAACTTTTATTACTCTCGGCTTCTTGTCTTTTGATTTTAAGTATAAAATTACAGTTATTTTCTTTATTAATATAGGAGCGTGGCTGCGGCGGGTCCATGTAGTGCGCCGTGCTCTACGTTCCAGACTTGCGCTAACTGTACGGCAGAGGAATGTATCTGGTGCGCATCCGCGGGACGATGTGTCGATAAGGTATGGATGAATTTATTTATTGAGTGTAAATATTATTCACAAGTTTAAAGTCTATACTCGGAATTTTAATTCGATTCCAGATTTGACAATTTCAGTGTTGCAACGTTATGACAAGTACTAAATAGTGACGTTGCGAAATTATTCGATATGGAAATGCAATATTTCTGGATCGATTCTTCTCGTTTATAATTTTACTCTCGTAAACTAAGTATATCAGGAAATTAAATATTTCTGAACCGATAATTTAGTTTTGACGATTAATTAACGATCTGAGACTTTTCTTTTATAATTGTGTGTGAAATAAATAAAAAAATGTAATCATGAAGGAACATGACAAATAAAACAGATAGATGTATTATGGTAATAAGTTATTTTATAAATTGTCGCCGTCATCGCTATCGCTATCCTGTCACTTTCTGTAACATTTATTATAAAACACACACACTGATTGTTTATCGATTTTTGTGTTCATCACTACACTATTATATGTGGTATCATTATTTCACAAAATGACAGTAGCTATTGTCAAATCTGGAATCTAATTAAAATTCTGACTATAGT